CCCCGTGCGCCTGCACCTGCTGCCAAGACATCTGCTGGTCCAGCCGCGTGAGGTGCCCCGGCCCAGCCACGGCGCCCCTCGGCGCAAACAAAAACAAAACAGCATTTGGCGGCTCCGGAAGAGCCCCCGCCGCTGCTGCGGCCCGGCGAGTAGCGTGAAGTGCACCCGCGCGCCCGCCGCAACCTAGATAGTAACAGGTGAGCTGTGGCCATGTGCGAGAGGCAAGGTCTTGAAACACATGCGCTACAACACCCGCACGGCAGGGCCCAGCCCCCAAGACGGTCCGCTGAGCGAGCGCACTCCAGCCCCAAAAGGTTCAAATAAGGCGCTGCTGCGGGCGCAGGGCTACGGGGCGGCATCAGTGGCTGCCAAGTTCCACCCGGCGCAGGAGGGCTTCTGCATGGCGGAGCGCTTGACGCTCTGGATCCGCCTGGTCATGCCAGACCAGTTTTGTTTATACATGTGAAGGATTAGGATTAGGATTGTTACACGATCCCGCGGTCGCCCGCTCCTGGAGCCATCCAGGCTCATGGGATGTAGCATTGTAGCATCAGCGTTGTGTGACTGGGACTCAAGTGGCCAGCGTTCGCGTTCATAGCAAGTGTGCACAAATGCCCCACAAGTTTGCAAGTCTGCGCTACACAAACGGGCGTGCATGCGGGCATGTGCAGGCAGGTTCACAAACAAGGGTGCAAAACGCGGCGCAGCACATTTGAGCTTGGCGGCTGTCCGCCCTCGGCGCCAACGCGCATGCCTAGAGCTTGGGCACCGGCGCGCCGCGGGGCGGCGCGCCGGCGCATGTCGGGCGGGCGCAAGCGCCCTTCAAGCGTGACGGCTGTCCGCCCTCCGCGCCCACGCGCCTGCCTGGGTGACGCTGGGCACCGGCGCGCCGCGGGGCAGCGCGCCGGTGCATGTCGAGCGGGCGCAAGCGCCCTTCAAGCGTGGCGGCTGTCCGCCCTCCGCGCCCACGCGCCTGCCTGGGTGATGCTGGGCACCGGCGCGCCGCGGGGCGGCCCGCCGGCGCATGTCGGGCGGGCGCAAGCGCCCTTCAAGCGTGGCGGCTGTCCGCCCTCCGCGC